ACGCGGTACGTGCCGGCGCCGCCGCCGCCCTCCAGCTGCACCAACTGCAGCTCCTGCCCTGTGCAGAAGGCGCGGATCTGGCACAGGTACGTCATGACGATGAGTTTGTCGGGCACAGTCAGCAGCACCATGTCCGCCGGCTCCAGCAGCCGCGATACGCCCAGGGCCGCGAAGCCATCGAAGGCCTAGGAGCAGTGCGTTAGGGTCAGCGGTGGCGGGCGTTACCCAGTGACACTGCGGTCCCCGGCTGGTACCACCCAGGGGGTCCCTGCAACGGGCATGCCAGGGTTTGCCAACAACGCCTGCACCCTCCTATTGGAAGAAATCTAGCAACAGGGCCCGCCCCCGCGTTACCCAGCAACTGCACACCAAAGGGTGGTTTCCAAAACACCATCTGGTGGAAATATGCTTTAAAAAAACAAAGCTAAACTAAGAAAAATGAACACTTTAAAGACCAAAAGGGTAATAAGTGGCAGAACTTCCAAAAGCCACAGCTGGGGCCCTGAGGCCCAGACTCCTCTTCTCCACACAGATAGACAAATCTTAAACACCTAGGCCTGGCTTTACACCCTCTTTCCCTCCAGGCATCACTCCCTCCCCATCTCACCTGCTTGTTGTTCTGTTTGATGTTGAGTGGGTCAAGGGAGGCAAAGTTGCTGCAGAGAGAGCAAGGATCAGAGGCTGGATTCACACCAGCCTCCCAGCAGGCTCCCCCATTCATTTGCACCCCCTCTGGCAGCTCACATCTTGTCTGGGTAGAATCGATGCAGGATGGCACAGAAGGCCAAGCCGTTGCGCCATGATGTGGTAAAGTTGGTGATGCGGACACCACGGTAGCCAGCGGTGACTTCCTGGCACCACTCCAGCAGGGACTGGCTAAAGCTCACCAGGGCAGGCGGTGCCTGGGGACACAGGGAAGGGCTTAGGAAATGTGAACATGGGACTTGTACTCTCTGCCCCTTGGGCACAAAAGAGCTTCAGCTCTGGGTTTGCAGGAGTCACCGCAGACTGCTGGACCTAGCTTTATGGTCAGGCAAAAAGGTTTCCAGCTCTGCAGTTATCTACCAAAGTCACCTACAAGGTCAGTGACCCCCAGGCAAGATCAGAAGTCACCAGCAGCCACACCTCCAGGTCAGCCCAGAAAATTAGCTCTAGGAGTGTCCCACTCCATGCAGCCCAGGGAAGACAGGGTAGAGGAGCCAGGGCATCTTGAGAGAGGAGCAGGTGAGGGGCTCCTTAAAGCTGAGCCCCTGTCCCACCCCACCCCAGTCGACCAGGTGGGTCCATGCAGAGCCGCCGTTCGCTCAGCCTGGGTTAGTGGGAAGCAGCAGACTGGGCCCTCAGCGGCCCCCATCCCTACCTGGCTGCCCGGCAGCCTCCTGTCCTCTTCAGGCTCCTCTGGGGAAGAGGCCCCCAAGGGCCTGGGCACCCCAGCCCCTGCCCCACTGGCCACCTGCGCCTCAATCAGGCTGGCCTCTGGGAGGTTTCCCTCAGCTTCTTTTCCCTTCTCGGTTCCTGAGACCCCAGCCTCTGCTTCCTGGGCCTCGAAAATACCAGATTGGTTCTCTGAAGCCCCTGGAACCTCCATCTCTGCTTCATTGGCTTCCCAAACCCCAGACATGGCCTCTGAAACCCCCCAAACCCCAGCCTCTGCCTCCTGGCCCCTCAAAATTGTAGTCTCTGCCTCTGCTCCCTGGGACTCTAAAATTCCATGCTTTATGACTGGGACCCTTAAAGCCTCATATTTGAGGGTCCTCCAGAGTCCAGTCTCTGCCTCCTGGACCCCAGAAGTTTTGGCCTTTGCTTTCTCAGCTTCTAAAACTGTACTTTCTGTCTGTTGACAGACAGTCTCCAGTCCCTCAGCCTCTACCATTCTAGCCTCTGGCCTTGAAAACCCTGAATTACCCACTTCTGTCTCCTCAGGCCCCACTATCTTAGTCTCTGTTCCTGGGACCCCTGAACCCCCAAATGCCATCTCCTGGGTCCCCAATATCTCAGCTTCTGCCGTCTTAGTCTCTGTCTCTGGGACCCCTGAACCCACTACCTCTGTCTCCTGCGTCCCCAATATCTCAGCTTCTGCTGTCTCACTCTCTACTCTGGGACCCCTGAACCCACTACCTCTGTCTCCTGGGTCCCCAATATCTCAGCTTCTGCTGTCTCAGTCTCTATCTCTGGGACCCCTGAACCCCCTACCTCTGTCTCCTGGGTCCCCAATATCTCAGCTTCTGCTATCTCACTCTCTACCTCTGGGACCCCTGAACCCCCTACCTCTGTCTCCTGGGTCCCCAATATCTCAGCTTCTGCTGTCTCACTCTCTATCTCAGGGACTCCTAAACCCCCTACCTCTGTCTCCTGGGTCCCCAGGATCTCAGCTTCTGCTGTCTCAATCTCAAACCCTGTGACCTCAGAACCTTCTAACTCTGTTTCCTGGGTTCTTGTTATCTCTGATTTTATCTCTGAGACCCCTGAAAACCTCACCTCTGTCTCCTGGGCCCCCAATATTTCAGATTCTGCTCTCTCAGCTTCTATCTTCAGCACTCTTGAACCCCCAGATATCTCCGGGGTCCCTAGTATCTCAGTCTCTGACACCACAGTCTTTATCCCCAGAACTCCTGAACCCCCAGCCTCTGTTTCCTGCATCCCCAGTACCTTATACTCTGCCACCCCAGCCTCTGTCCCGGGGGCCCCTAAAATCCTTACCCCTGTTTTCTGGGTCCCTAGTTCCTTAGACTCTGTCATCTCAGCAGCCTCTGACTCCAGGACCCCTGATCTCACTCTCTTTGTCTCCTGGGTCCCCAATATCTCTGCTTCTGCTGTCTCGGTCTCTATCTGTGGAAACACTGAGCCCCCCACTTCCGTCTCCTGGGTCCCCAGTGACTCTGATTCTGCCACCCTAGTCTCTGGTCCCGAGACCCTTGAATCCCCAGTTTCTACCTCCCAGACCCTCAGATCCCTAGACACTGCCCCCTGGTCAGCTGCTAGTGGGGCCCCTTGGTACCTGCTCACCTGGGGACTGGCACTTGCTGCTCCAACAGAGGTGCCCTGCTCCAGGCCTGTCCCCCCAATACCCAGGGCTCTGTCCCTCACCTCTGCACCCTCTTTCTCCTGGCCTGCAGCAGTCCTGATCCCCTTGAGGTCACCAAGATGCCTGGAATGCCCTGCAGGCTCTGCTGGAGGTGGGCTCAGGATTGTGTGAGCCTCATCCCTGGTCCTGACGCCTGTCTTTCCCTGAGAGCCCCTTGGAGGAGCCTCAGGAGTCCCCTTGAATCTTGCCTCAGATGTCACCCCTGTAGACTCTGGTCCCTTAGTGTCCACATGTCTCACACTTGACCTCCGCTGAGCATCCACTTGACCTACTCCTAAACTCTCTTCAGCCTCCCAAGCTCTGACATCTGACCTCTTCTTATTCACCTCTCTGACTCCTAACCCATGCTCAGTGGCCACCCCACTAGCCTCTGGCCTGTCCCCAACGCCCCCTTCCTCAGCCATGGGTTTCTGCCCTTCCAAAACGTTGCTGGAGTGTCTGTCCTCAGTGCTTGGGCCCAGCCCTGCTCCCTGGGCTTCTGTCCCTTCCTGAGGGCTTTCCAGGGCCTGGGTCTCCACAGCAGAATCCACTCCTGCTGGGGGAGCCCCTGAGTCTTTGGAGGCCTCATCCTCCTCTTGGTGGACTGGGGGCCAGGGGGCATCAGAGCCTTTCCGGAGCCGAGGGGCCGGGGTGGGGGCCACATCTTGGCCTGGCTGTCTTGAGGACCTGAAGAGAGAGTAGGAGGGTGCATTGCATGTGGGGCATTTGGCCCCCCTCTCAGCTCCTCTTCCAGCCTTTCAGATTGCTGGGGCCCTGGAAAGGTGGTTAGGTGAGGGGAGTGCAACTTCTTGAGAATAGACAGGGGATGGGGCTGTGGGGCTGGTTCCATAGCTCACCTTGTCTCGGGTTGGGTTCCAGGGGGCCTGGGGGCCTTGGGCCCCACCTGGCCCCCAGCTATGGTAGCTGGTTCTGACTCCTGGCCCCGGGAGGCCCTGGCTGGGGGCGCAGGGGCACTCACAGGTGCTGGGCTGGTATCCTCAGTGCTAGAAGGGCTGGCAGCTGCGGGGAAGGAAGGGAGGTAGTGCTGAGGCCTGGGCTCTGTGACTGGAGGTCCAGTGACCCCCACAACCCCCGGCAACCCCAGCCTGGGCCTCACCTGCCCGCTGGAGCCGGCCCTCTTCCTCCTCCTCACAAAGTGTCTTCAACTCCCGAGAGGCATCTGGGAGCAGGGATTGGAGGGCAGGGTCAGCCCAGGGAAGAGCCCTGCAGGCCTGACCCCCTCCCCCCAACTAGAATGCTGGGCCTACCTGGGAGACGCCCCAGCCTCAGGGCACTGCCCCAGCCTACGAGAAGAGACAGGCCCATGGATGCAGAGAAGAGAGAAAGATAGGGCAGACAAGGACAGACAGAAAAAAAAAGCCTTAACAAGCAAAAGGGAGGGATGAGGGTGAGTGGTGAGGGGTAGTGAGCCTGGACTGCAGCCCCTCTCTGCACTTTTGGCCCAGCTGCCTCAGGGCAGGTACAGACCTGGGCAGGCATCCACCTAGGGGTGAGGAGAGGGCCAGGGACACTGGGAGGTGCTGGGAACCCGTCTGGAAGGACTCAGCTAAGGACCCAGGTCACCATGGGACCAGGGGTCAAGTCTGGATAATTAGGGCCACTGAGCAGATTGGGACCTTCTGGCCATAGAGAGCTCCCACCATGGAGTGTGCTCAAGCTGGCCCTGCCCCAACACAGCAAGTGAATTATGGCCTGGGTTATCCTCAGCCTCCCTAGGTCCTGGTGATCTCAATTCACGGCTGGTGAGCCTACCTGGCTGGGGGACACGAGCCCGCACCTCCAGGGTCCCTGGACCATTAGCCTCCTCCTCGTCACTCTCAGCAAAGTCCTCCAAGTTGCCCACATCACTAGGCTTCATGCTCATGAGGCTCGCAAGACTCTGCATGTCATCGTCCCTGGGGGTCAGAGGTCAGAGGTGAGGGCTGGTCAGAGGTTTCAGATTAGGGCGCAGGAGGGCAGTGGGGCACTCACGTGGCTCGGCCCTCCCGCAGCAGCACCCCCGAGAGAGTGAGGCTCAGCTCGGCCTGCACCACCTTCACCGACTTGGGCTTCAGCCGCAACCGCAGCGGAACTTGGGCAGGCACAGGCCCTGCATGGCGGGCCAGGTCTACCTCAGCCGTGGCCAGCACCTTCCGCTGCCCCTTGGACTCCTGTGGGCCGGGGGAAGGAGGATCAGTGCTGCTCCAGAGTGCCCAAGACCCCAGGCTCCAGCCCGCCCTGGCCACTCACATTCTCAATAATGAACGTCCACTCTTTGGCCTCATACTGGTCCACGTGGGGGTCCTGGGAAAGAGGGACACTGATGAGTTCAGGGACTGCTGGGGTGGGGCAGGGCAGGGAAGAGCCTGTGCTGGCTCAGGTGTTTGTTCGGGCCTTCACACATGTTGGTCCCTCCTGGCAGGTGTGCTCCCCAGCTTCTCCTGATCCCAGCTCTCTCTCGTACTATATGTGGAGGGTATGACCTCCTGGGTCCCTCAGGCTGAGGAGACCCCTTGCCATGATTCTTGGTTTCACCCCCCCACCCCGTCCTTTCCTGTTTGGATGCATGACCCACCCAGGGACGCCTGTGGCTGCCCACAGCACTGGCAATCATCGGCTCATCCCCATCTGTGCAGGAATGCTGGAGACTCACCCGGTACAGGGTCACAGAGATGTCCACATTCTCAGGTACCATCCACACCACGGTGCCCCGGTATGGGTTCTGGATGCCCGGCTGCCAGCTGTGGGCCTACAATAAGCAGTCTGAGTCCTCCACCAGTCTTAACTCTCCCCTGAAACCCCTTGTCCTTATCTCCAGTCTTGACCCTATCTTTCTCTCCCTATGATCTGAACCTGATTCCACTCCCCCATCACCCTTACCCACTTAACCCAACCACCCAATTAGCCCCAACGCCAATCTGGACCCTACCTTGGAGCAGATGCGCCGGTTCCGCCGGGTCCACACAACCACCAGCTTATCAGGTTGCCTGGGAGGCAGGGGAAGAGGGGCTACTCAGTCAGGCCCACCTAGCCTCTCCATCTCCTCCAGAGTCTTCCTTCTGCCTCGACCCTCTACCCACTGAACAGGGTCTGGACAGCCCCTTATCTGGGGACCCAGGGAGCAGGGTGGGGCTGCTGAGGCAGGGTGAGGCCTGGGTCAGAAGGGCAAAGGGCCATGGGTCGACAGGGATTATGAAGACAGTGATATAGAGAGACAGGCACACACAGAGACAGAGAGATACACAAAAACACAACAAGGGCCCTGCAAGAAACACAGACACAGTAAGAGACAGACTCAGAGTAACAGAAGTCCATTCATTAACAAATATTTGCAGAGTGCATACTGTCACCCCAGCCCAATATGAGGACAGAGCAGAGCAAAGGAAAGCCTTCTAGGGTTGAGGACTATGGAAGTGAGGGAAGAGTCCCAATTAAGAAGGAAAATAAATTAACAAACTGACTTCAGAGAGATGGGAGATTGCCGCTGGGGTCTCCTTAAGGTTGGATGTCTCAGCAGAGGTATGAGTCGGGGAGGGATGGGCTGTGTAAGGGTCTGGAGAAGGGAGACTCCAGGCAGAGGGAATGGCAAGTGCCAGGGTCCAAGGATTCTGGTAGGTGTAGGGTTGGGTCAGGGCAGAACGTGGGAAGTCGTCAGAGACCCATAGAGTCAGCTTGTCATGAGATACCCTCCCAGGGCCTTCCATGCCCAGCCCTTTGCTTTGCAGGGCCCCTGACTCCCACAGGGGACACTAGGGAAAAATTTCAGAAGGTGACATCTAAGCTGAACAGCATATGCCAGGGCAAAGAGATGTGGGGAGACAGATAAAGCGAGAGGAGAGTCGCCTGTGCAGGGCCAAGTCCCAGACATGTGGCTGGGCCTGGAAGGGAGAGGGCTCCTTTGGGTTAGAGGTCCCAACTGCTGCCCAGGAGGGTGGAAATGGTTAGGGAGCATCAGGCCAAGGGCAGCACAAGAGCCCTCCTTGCCTGTACCTCCTCCCATGCCAGGATGCTCAGGTTCACCCAGCTCACTGCCCCGCTGGAAGCCAAGCTAGGACAAATGGCTCTCCTGTCAATCCCTGAGGATGCTGAGACCCAGAGAGGTTAGGGGCCAGGCAAGGTTACACAGCTAAGCCTAGAGCCCTCCAGCCTGGAGCCAAGTACCCCTCCTTGACTCCAAACTTCAGGCGATGGCTGACTAAGGGTAGCCATGGGGCCTTCCCAGAAAGGGGAAGCAGACAGTGGTAGCCTAGAGAGGGCGGGGCCTGGCTAGGCAGCCTGACTCAGGCTGGGCACGCCCTCCTGGGGAGCTAAGACCTGGGCAGGGGCAGCTTCCTAGCCTGGGCTCCCAGCAAAAAAGCAAAGGAGGCCCTGCCCACCCTCTGTGACTCAGACAAGTTGACACTGCCTGCACACTCAGCCAGGATGCTGGGGCAGAAGGTAGACGCAAGAAGCCAGAGGCCAGAGTTCAAGTCCCAGCCCTGTGCTGTGTTACCCCAGCCAGCTCCTGTCCTTTCTGGGCCTTGCTGAACGGTGTGAATGACCCTCTGGCTGGGCCAGTCAAGACTGGGGACATGGCAGCTGCCCAAGGGACCCCAGTCTCCTGCTCACTCCCCTCCCCTTGGACCCTCTGGTCCTTTCCTGTCCTTCCTCTTGGGAGCCTAAATTTATCCCCGCCTGGCGGGTGAGGCCCCCACAGCTGTGCCCTAATCCAGCCAAGGGAAGCTGACACCAGTAAGCACGTATATTTAGGGTGTGACGCAGGAACCTGGGCAGCTGCGGGTGGGGGCATGTGAAGGAGATGCCCCTGGTTCCTTTGGCAGTCCAGCCCAGGTCCTGCACCCTTCACACATGTCCCCCCCACACCACCACCTTGCCTTCCCCAGGCTCAGGCCCCTTTAAGCTGCTCCCTGCCTCCCTTCTCATCCCTCCCAGTGCTCAGTTTCCCCTTTTAAGGATATTGTGGAGATGCATCCAGCCTCCCAGCGCCTACTCTGGCTGAAGGGGTGGGTGGTTCCTCTGCATCAACAAATGGGCAGGGGAGGAGGGGGCAACATCCTTGTTCTGAGTTGGACTAAGGTCCATGGAGTTTTCCGTCCCAGCTCCACTACCTGCAGATCTCAAAACTTGCTTCCTTTTCTGATACTACCCTGTACCATCCCTCTGGCCAAAAACATGAGGCCTCCCTTCCCCCAGTCCTGAGAGCAGCTGAGGAAAGTGTGGGCACAGATTCTCAGGCCAGGAAGTCCTGACCTCCACTCCCAAACGCTGCCCCCCCTCAACTCTGGGGATCCCACAAGCTGCAAGGGCACTTTTGAGTTTCTGTGCCTAGGTCACCAGGGCCCAAACCAGGGTAGGGGGCCTCTTTGGCCACTGCGCTGGGGGCAGGGCTGTCAGGCTTCAAAGGCCAGATGGGGTCTCAGCCAGCCTGGGGGACTCCCACTGGCCTCCCTCCCACTCACCATTTCTTGGTGCACTCCACCACCAGCTCGTGGTAACAGGCCACAAACTGGAACTTGGCGGCCCGCTTGCCCACGCGCTGCAGGCGCTTCCACACCGAGGTCATGGCCCTCGCTGCCCCGCCACCCACTCCTCAGACCTGGGGCTCCCGCTGGCCCGCGACCGCTGGCCCGACTCGGGTCCCC